ATCTTGCCAACTGCATCTTCTTGAAGAAAGCAATGATAGAATCTGCTGTTCTCTCCTTGGATTCGGTTGCTAATTAGAGTAGACTTATGATATAGGGTTTAGGACTTATTATTAGGATTTTCTAGGACCCGGGTTATTCCAGTGACTAATAATTCTGACCGGTGGCTGTGCTTCAGCTGGAACCATGCAATCTCCTGCCACGCCTCATGCTTCTGTAGCGGAATATGTAGCGGAATACTGGAGATTGTGTTTCGATACCGGGTATAAGGGAAAAAATATGTATATTGCAACCTTGCAACGTGCAGCTTTGGCTTGTTCGGCCACAGAGGGCGGTTCAGTTGCACAGCCCTTGTGCCAAGATCAAAGTAGGCAAGAAGGCATTGATCCTTGATGCCGGAGTTTACGAAGTTCATTAAAAAAATAAACAGTGATCAGCGCTATTGGCTAGCATCGACACCGACATTTAATAAAGTATCAACTAAGGTATGATTCGAGGTAAGGCTCGCAGGAGGTCTGCATCTGTTGCGCCTCTTGCAAAGAGAGGTACCTTTGGGCGTCCTCCGACTGGTCGAACCAGGCCGCCAAGTAATGCCTTGGCATTCGTGTAAAAGTAGCATAGGGGTATATAGTTTCTAGATTATAATGTAGAATCTCTACATAATGACATACTATAGAATAAGAATTAGAATGAAGGTTTTCATACACATATATATACATATATATCTGTACACGGGTATTTAAAAGCAGTAGGGCTATCGGTAAAAAAAAAGAAAACATTGAGTTTCAGCATTTCATACAATGGTACGTGCACTTTGCCATGAGCTTCAGGTCAGCTGAGGGCTCGTGTTTGCGGTATAGATCAAGCAAGAAGGACGCTAGCCAAGCCACCACCACTCGAGCCTAAGTCTATATGGTCCAGGGGACTCTTGGAGATACTCGGATTTTGGTAGCCCTGCTTAAAGGGTCGACCCCTGCACTAGTCAGAACCATATAAGAAAAAAAACCATTCAGACTAGGAGTTGCATTGTAAGCTTTCGCTCGGAGCTCCGGAAATGGTCCATCGGGTGACTTCAGGGATGCAGTGGTGAATCGAGGCTGTGTGTTCCTGAGCGTGTTTTCTTAAAGTCGCATCGACAGTATGTTCGATCTATTAACTTCTTCGGAAGTACAACTATAGCTACAACCAAAAATGAGGCTGCCTACCTGGAGATCGCTCTGTTTTGCATAAAGGGGCGGTATTTTGCGCTCGTGACACCAGAGCTTGAAGGTCTCATGTGCAACCCGCAACCGTTGTGAGTCATCCCCCTCGCCAAAAACTCCCGGGAAGTCCATAAGGAGAAGCTTGAAGCAAGACCCCACGACCCACAAGACCACTCCCAAGTTAATAACGTGCATGGAGCACCATTTGTACGAGGCTGCTGTGGCTCCTGGAAGATCGAAGAGCGGGCCTCGGAAGGGGATTTCATCCTATATAGGGTTTAGCTTTATTTGTACTAGGCCTTATAAGGTTTAATTCCTCTTTCATAGAACCATATATTATGGCTGATAACACTTAAAATCGAAATATAAGATTACAATAGAATATTCCGTTATCAATTCAGATTGGGTGCTTCGGATGCCACGGTGTACACAGCTGCTCTGGATCTCGTGAAGGGTTCGCCGAGGGAGGTCATCTAAAATTGAGGGTGCAACGGCAAAAGCTGTATGTGTCACCGGACAGTGGTGACACAGCTGTGTCGATGACCAGCCTGTTGTTAGCCCCAACCATTCCTTAGCAAACATGTACACAGCTTGGGCAGTGTAGAGATGCAGTGTCGTGTTGTATGCATGCTAATATGTACTACTTAAGTAGTGTGCCCACACATTGCATGTCTGTGTACCATATATCATGTCCCAGATTCTTTCTGCCACTTCCAGTCACCCCGCACTTGAGTGCAAAGCGCATGTATCATGAGATCAGTTTCCGCCCCAGAAACAGCCACACCGTTTGCCAGCAGGTGGAAGCTCTTGACTACCTCGGACAAAGGCGGAATGGCAGGGTTGGCGAGGGTTACAAATTTATTGGGTTTACATATTGTTGATTTGGTTTTAGGGATCTGATAAGTCAAAGCACCGGAGCCAGGTAGGCAGCAATTGTAGCCATACCAACACTGAGTTCCTTGGGGTCGACTAGATATATGCTGTGTATTCAAACCTTAGACCCTCTATATATATATATGTATGTATATATATATATACATACATACATATATATATATAGGAGAGGTAAAAAATAAAATGTATATACCAAAATAAACCTTAAGCATCAGAGGGTAGATCTAACACATCCAATGCAACATAATGATGGATTAAATCTTGCTGTTAAGCATCGCAGCCACAAACCCAAAGCGGGAAGCAGCAGTTGTACGAATTTCGGTTCGTATCCAAACAGTGACCCATCATGCACACCATCACCTTCTGATTATTCCGCTTTCCGTATCGGACATCATCTCCCCACAACCAGACGGGGTGATGTTGCATTGAATCTGAAGGCGGCTCAACCCCTGTGCAGTAGCGCTGTTGGTGGCTCCAGTATTCGTAAACAGCATCCATACATATATCGGGCCACACTTTCAGGCGCAGCAGCCAAGGAAGTAGTTTGTGTGGTAGAATAACAGGCATTGCCCTCAGCATGACACTTTAAATCGGAACCTTAGAAACCTCGGCTCTATGATTGTTGTGACTATGGTTTCGGATGCCCGAGTTTAGAAATAATAGCCTGGATCATGGACCTGAAGCCCTGCAACCAAGAACAGGCACCGGGTCGCCTCATCTCCACCTTCTTGCGTCCACATCCCTTTTCAGGCCGGATAGGGATGTCCACATAGTCGATCGGTATCTGGGTTTGGCGGGCTTCTACAAGTGTAAATGTGTACTAAGGGTTTATTTGTATTAGTTAAAGTGTGTGACTTAGCAGGTGTTTCATTTTATTTTTATTGGGTTTTGGGTACAAGTCGTACAGGAAATGGACACCTACTGACACACACATATATATATATATATATATATCATATAATAGAGAGAGATAGACAGATAGATCCGATAGATAGATGGATAGATATCTAAAGATACAGGAACATTTAAAAGGTAATAAGGTCTAGGGTCCAGGATTCGAACGCTAGATAAAGGGGATCAGGGCTATAAGCTACATGTATATATATAACACAAGCTTTAAACTATATACTAATATAAGCAAGAATCATCATCACCAGTGGAGCTCGTGCGCAACATGTCACGCTGTATGTTGCTTGCCCATTTCCCATCACAGCCGGCTCTTACAAGTCTGGCGCACGGTCCTTGCATCTTCACACCATGCCAGCTCATCTCCTGCGGCCACACAGTGGATGTTTAGCTGGACGGCTGAGCACTTATAATATCTAATGGCCCCGTCCCCACATAGAAGCAGCAATGTATAGCTAGGATCTCATGTTTAATTATGTGTACCAAGTTCAGACTGTCCTCTTTCACGGCTTGCAACGACTCGCGAGCACTCTTGAAGGAAGCCTTGCATGCAGAGCCCACATGCATACTCCAATGATTTGTAGCACACTGTGACGACAAGCAATTGCAAGCTAGCCACACCACGACCCACGGCCCGGAGCAAGTGCTGGAACAAAGGCGATGTCCTTGCTCTGGCAAGATCACCTGCGTAGGGGTGGCTTTGCGAGGATCGGTTGCAGAAGCCCTAGGGAGGTTTTCAAAGTTCGGTTCAGAATTACGATCACTGAAGAAGCGCATGCCCACAGTTGCACTGACCCTATTTCTTTGGCAGCTGCCGTGGCGGCACGGATGTCTGGGAATGTAACCTTTGTAAATCTTGGAGCCCTGCAGCTTGGATTCAAGCTGTGCAGCTCATGATCATGATCAGCCCAAAACGGGAGCTTCACCAAAATCGAAGCATTCCCCTGCCGAAGGTTCTAGCAGTATGCTGGCGTTCTTGGATCCAGGGATAAGACCACACGGGTACCCCAAAAACAGTACTAGTCATATATACAAGATTAGTTGCTAATGCTGTGCAATGTAGTGACAAACCCCAGATCACACAGCACAGGACATACTGGGCCCTCAAGCTAAGCTTCAGCCCATGTGAACTCCGTCTCAGGATCTCCCTGGCTGTGCTCATCCACGTGCCCGCCCCTTAGCCTTGGCCTTCGGCTTCGGTGGATCCTGAGATAGGTATAGGTTCAAGGTTGTCCGACTGTAGCTGGTCAAGTGGCTGCATCTATGAGGCTAGGGTTTGCTTCATGATCTCATGTATGGCTTTGTAGGGTTTCCTCATAAGGCTTTCTAGGCTCGTATGTTCTAGAGGTTTCATATGTTTACAAATAACTAACTAAATAGATACATAAATAAGTAAATTTAAAAATTAATATATATATATATGTATACATATTATATGTTTACACATATATATATACATATATATATGTATGTATGTAGATTATGCATATGTATGTAGATCTATATGTATATGTATATATATGTATGTATATGTATACACATGTACACATACATACATACATACATACATAGATATATTTACATACATGTATATAAATGTACATAGAGAGAGATACTATAGCTCCATGTGCAGTATAATCGATTTACTTCAATACAGTTGTAAGTGTACGATGCTTCGATTATACTTATGCTGGTGCTCGGAATGGGGTCAAGCTCAGGATGAAACGAGATTCGAAATTCAGGAATGCCAAGCTAGAGATATAACAGATGCATAGCTAGATATAGGTTTCCTCTCCAGTGGCATGAGTTCATATGCATATAAAATTAAATATATACGTGTATACATATATATATATGTATATATATATAGATGAGTAAATAGAGTGTTCTTGTGTAGAGAAGTTGTGACATAGGAGCGGTCTGAAGGCTGGGATTTTTTTGTGATTCCATGCCTTCGTCACGTACACACACACACATATGCACATGTCCAAATACACGCACTACACATGTATAAGTACATGTACACGTGTCTCAGGGGCTTGGTAGCGCTGTCTAGATCTAGAAATGGATATTTGCTTACAGTACACCATATGTGTCTTCATGTACATACATGTACAGGGCTCTATCTGCCTCAAAGGCTCCAGGATCATCTTCAGAGGCTTCATGGCTCCCGAAAAGGTCGTGACGAGTGAGTCCGAACGTTCAATCAAGCCATTGATCTCATTTCTCACACTTTCACTCATGTCAGCATCCTTGGTGTTGTTGTGTATGCTGTACAGGCCTTCGAGTTCACCTTTGATGCGAGTGAAGGCATTCTTGTGCTTGTCCAGCTCCTCCTGGTGGTTGGCCTTGGCTTTTTCTGTCCTGAGATGAGTCAAAAAAGGATATTCAAAAACTCTTGTTCTACGGCTGATGTTGCGGCATAATTTATTTAGCACATGAAGAAACTTACAAGTTTTCTTGTCTAGTGGCAGGGTTGACTCAGCCAATTTCGTAGCCCACACTATGATCTCGGTCTGCTTCGCAGCCAGGGCTTGAATCTTAGAGTTGAGCTTCCTTGCAACACTGTTGGGGGCCACCTTGGACACCTTCCCGCGCTCGGCTTTATTGGGGTTCTTCTCTCCACCCGTCAAGGACTCCGCAGAATTGGACCTGCCGGCCCCGAGCATTCCGAGGACGTCCTGCCCCGACATTGCAGCATTGTTTGGCATCAACACCGGCCTGGGCTGATAGAACTTGTTTCAGGTTTAGGGGTCATAAGTTGATCAGGGTTTAGTTATAAGGTTTGGGGTATAGGGTTTAGGGTTGAGGGTCCCGGGGAGGTTCGTAGGCCACTCAGATGTTCCGAACATATGCAAGTGTCTTTGTTAGACCCTGGCTTATTACGGTCTATTATGATCATAGCAGTGTATAGGGGATGCAAGGCTCCATACCTATATAGTGTGTTATACATTTAAAAACAAGTATGTGTCATACGTATGTATGTACATACCTACACATGCATATATGCATCGGGTGTGCAATAAGCTGTCGATTTCTTCAGCTTTGTGGGAACTTGAATGGAATGAAGGCTTAGCTGGGTTTGGGAGGACGACAACTAAATTTTACATCTAATAAGTTTTGCAATAAACAATAATTTTATCTTCGGCTGCAAACTAGGGTCGCAAGCTGCCTTGCAGCCTGGCTTGAAATGTTGCCCGATGAGTGGAAGCCGGCACTCGTCGTGTTGGACTCGTTCAGCTCGAACTCAATCGAATCCAAGACTCTGAAGAGTTCATAGTTCTGAGCTCGGACCATGTACCCCAGCAAATATATAAGTAAGGAGACGTATGGATGCAAAAGTATAATTACAAAAGTCAAGAAATTTACACCGATGGTTGTATGTTGTGCCTATAATTAAGTACATATATAGGTATCTTGGACTCAGTATCTGTGCACATATAGGGTTTAGGGTTTGTTGTTTTTTTTTGGTCTAGGGTTTAGGGTTAATTTGGGGTTTAGGGTTTGGGCCGAACACTAGCGTAAAGGGTTCATCAATCACATGGCCTTGCTATATTTAGGGCTGTGGGATTGAATCAAGTCCAGGGTTCAGGATCCTCGATGCCATCGGGATGCTCCATATGATATGGTTTCGGGTCAACACGGGGATCGCGGCTTTTCTCCTTGGCGTACTTCCTCTGCCGAATCCCCTCCGCGACCTTCTTCCCATACTGATCACAGAGCGTCTTAAAAGACTTCATGACTTCTTTGGCTGCGTAGTTCTCTTGATTCACACGTGTGGCCTCGATCACTAACTGGGTGTTAGCCCAGTCTTCGCCGGCCTCGAGCCATTGCTGAAACCACACGGCCAACGTTTTCAATCGATCTTGGTTGTGCAACACATGAGAACTCGACTCAACTCTCGGAACATCGATGTCTTTATGATTCATGCTGCAGACATGTACAAGCCACTGGGCTGCCCTTCAAGCTCACCCAACTTGTCCAGGACAATCGGCGGACAGTCAGGACCTGAGAAGCAGTCCCAAGCTCGCATGCTTTGCCGCTACTGCTAGATCTCTAAACAAATGCTCGAGGATTAAGACAGGCAGCTGTTGAAGGTTCTGTCGAAGCGGACACGGGCATTATGTTTCAGCCGTTTGGCCTCCTTTGCCTCCCACGCCAAACGCTCCTCCTCTGTTTTGAATTCCCGATCAGGCTCTGGCTTCATGACCTTCTGGAGGGCAGGAGCGGATGGCTCAGCAGGTGGAACCGGAGCCTGCTTCACGTCCACTGCTGCCTGCGTGTGAGGGCATGCTCATGACCGCATATTGCATTGCAAAGCTCGTGTGATTACATGTCATGGAGTAGACCTGCAAATGTGTAGATCTAGAAGAAAGTTACCAGCCTCAATTTCAGACGTGTCCAAACGTTGCATGGCAGCCCGTACACCCTGCTGCTGCCAGGATGTCTTTGGAGGCGGCGGGGCATCATCACCATTGCCTGGAACCTGAGCATGGGGTTCTTTTGTAAGATTAAGCATTCTATTATGCGATCCGCGAGAAACAATCAGATACTTGTAAGTCGACACTCGGTATAGTTCGGTTTAGTGAATACTTTAAGTATCTGCGGCAGCTGTTGTCTTGGGGGCTGGATATTGAGCAAGTCGAAAGTCATGATGGACCACCTTACAGGCTGGTTTAGATAGATGGCTTAGAAGTCTACTAATCACATTAATGATGAGGAGCGACATACATGTGCATTGTGTATAACTGCACATAGGATGCTTGTAACCCCAGTTCAAGTCCATAGGATCTCACTTCCATTAGTTACACACAGGGTTTCGGGTTTAGGGTTTAGGGTTTGGGGTTTGGGGTTTAATATAAGGGGCTTAGGATGGATAAGCACGTGCGGGACATGGACAACCCCAGAGAGTGGGCTGATGTTCCCACAGAGGCCCCGGCTGAGGTTAGATTTGGCTCATGAAACCCCAAGCCCTAATCAAAGCCCTAAATCACCAAGAACCCTAACCCCTAAACCCACCAAACCCTGCCTGGCATGTCCGAGTTCTGAGAGCCTAATTACCTCCAAAACCCTAATACGCCCTAACCCCCACAAAAAGGAAACAACTGAACCCTTATAAATTAACCTCTTGATAGTCTGGGTTGTATGAAAGTTGCTTGTTCATGATGTCAAGAATAACGATGTCGAGTGGTTGGATAGGTTTCTGCAACAGATGTATATATAGATGTATGTCTATATACTTATAATTATATGGGCTATTAAGGGCATATATATATATATAGAGAGAGAGAGAGAGAGCTAGAGAGAGTAGCAAACTTCCGGTCCCTGTCAATTTGAGTCTTGGTAGTAGCTACCTAGCTATAGAAGTCTTACAGAAGCCCAATACTCGAAGCCTCAACACCTTTAAAATTTAGGCAAAACCCCGACCCGGAAAACTAAACCCGAAAACCTCACTATCAGACATTTATGGTAGAGCCCCACTAAACCCCTTGAAGCCGTCAACCCTAACCCCCCCAAACCCTAAACCCTTATAAGCTCCTAAACCCTAACCCCCCAAGCCCCTGGACCCCTAAACCTAAACCCTAAACGGGTACATTTCAGGAAGGTCTAACACATTATTGAGTATGGGGATGTAGAATAATATGGAGTTAAGCTCTAGAGTTCTCGAACAGTTCAGCACAGGTACGGGCGATGCTAGTGCACGACTACTGGGAGTGGCTGATGCGGCAGGAGGCATGTCCTCCTCTTGCAACTGCATGTTGAGCTGATTCTCCAAGTCCTTGCACAGTGCTGACTCGTCGTCTTCGGGCAGGCTAGTGGAAGTGCTCTGGAACTCGGTTTCGGCATTCCTTAGAAGCTTCAGGAGGGCTTCAGAGAAGGTGGCAATATGCTCATCCAGCTTCTTGCACACCTCCTGCTGGGAGAGGTCCTTCTCATCCAGCTTCTGACTTACCCACTTGTCTATCTGTTCCATCTTGCTCTTCAGGACCTCTGCTGTCTGCTGCTTCTCTTGCTCCTTCATCTTTTTGGCAGAACCCACTGCCACAATGACCTTACCACACTTGAGGAACTGAGCCTTGGCCTCCTCGTACTCCTTCTGCAAGCTCAGCATGGAAAGGCACGTATCATGAAGCTCTCTGGCGCAGGGCCCATTACCACTGTCCTGAGCCTCAAAAGCCCCGTCGTACTTGCCAGCAACTAGGCGAGTCCACTTGAGAACCTCGAAGGCCCTTGTTGAAGCTTCGGCATCACCGTGGCGATACACCCACTCACAAAGCTTGCCCGGGCTTTGCTGCATGTCCAAACAGGTCTCATCATTGGGGATGACCATCTGCAGCTGGCCCAGCTGGCCTTGTGCTCGGAGATTCTGCGCCATGTCAAGCACAGGGTCTGTCATCTGAGTCGACAGCATAGCCTTCTGAAACTCAGACACAACCGAATGCCCACGATGCATAGGGAGGGTCTCCTGGGAATCCACATGCTTTGGCTCACCTTGGGTGAACGACTTCTTGTAAATAGCAGGAGCTATCGACGTAGAACTTTAAACTTAAGTTGCACCATAGGTACACGTCAAATATAAGTTTTGTTACTTGTGTCTGGCCTATCCAATGGAGCTATGGATCTTTTCCATGTACATGTAGAGATCTAGAGAACCAGAATGGTCGAGAGAGAGAGAGAGACTCTGTCTATGCATACCCAGAGTCCTATTTATAATGCCTAGGCATGCATATGTACATGTCCACATCTACTGTATATGTATGCTTCTATCTCTCTCTCTCTCTCTCACTTTGTACACGAACTATATATATATATATATGTGTGTGTGTACATACATATGTATATATATATATAGATCGGCATACAATGCTTATCCTCATACACATCTAATTTCAGGCCGTCGTGTAAATGCACATGCATGTACATTGGCTGGCTATACATACGTACATACATACATACATACATACATACATACATACATACATATATATATATTTATGTATATACATAGGTACATATACATACATGCATGCATACATACATACATATATATATATATGTATACATACATAGAAGCAGACCTACATACATGCATACTTGCATACATCGTTGTATATATATATAAACATATATGAATGAAAACACATGCCTATATACACTCGGTACTGTACTAATAAAAGCAGACATGTGTAAACGATCTGGTGTATCAAGAGTAGACATAGGCACTTATAAGTATGATCGATACACCCGCCCCCCGCGCCACCACGAGATCCCTGAAGTGTCAAGGGACCCTAGAATCTAGAGGACAACTACATCCTCCACGACAGCTGTTGATAACTATCTCGATGATGCATCACTTGGGTGCAAAACTCGCCTAGTTAAGATGGTCTACCATGTAATATATGTGGAGCAACAAATCCAAGTTTTCATTTTAAATCCTTTTCCTCGGCCATGTGCAACAAGGTGGCCCTCTGCTTTGCCCGCTGGTGGCTGCTCCACTACAGGTGCACTGCTCTTGGGACCAGGGGGATCAGAGGAGATGGGCTGCTTCGGGGATTCATTGCCTCGGGATTCCTTTGCTGTAGCCTGTGCTGGCAAGTCCCCCTGGGGCTCCTGGTTCAGGCCTTTGCCATTCTGAATCTGATCAAGTGCAGGCGGTTCAGAGGAGATGGTCTGCTTCGGGGTTCCATTGCCTTGGGATTCCTTTGCTGCTGTAGCCTTTGCTGCGCCTGCCTTTCTGCGGGATTTCGAGGAAGGGAGGGCATCTTTCTTGGGAGCTTTCTCTAAGCCTGGGGATTCAGTCGTCTGAACCCGTGTTTCGGGAAGGCTCAGCACAGAGGGCTTCTGGTCACCAACGGGCTCGTCCAGCTGGGTCTCCGCAAAAGCATTGTCACCGAGGGTTTCCTGGGATGTTCGATCCGGCTGGGGTCGGTTATATAATTATAAGGATACTTGGTTTCTGCAAAGAATCGACTAGAAACTGCTGCAATGAAAATTACTAGAACAAGGCTCAGGGGGATCACCGACCTTAAGCTTCTTGTGGAACGGGCTCTTGATCGGGGGTGAAGCCAATAGAGCAGCAGCAGCATCATCGGCAGCAGCTTTGGCAAACTCACTGGCTAAGTTCTTCTTGGGGTTCTTAGCAACTAGTACAGGCTCCGGAGATAGAGCAGGCTTCGTGGGAGGTGTGGAGGTGCTGGGTGGTTTGACCTGCACAGGCTTCTCCGCTGCCTCCTTCTCGAGGCGGCCCAGGCACCCCACAGCACGTAGAGTACAGAAATCAGCCCAGTTGAATTTCACATAATTTCACGTGCTTTTCACGCCCAGCTTTTGGTATTTAAGGCCTTTCGGGCGATTTTCACGGATGTTCACGCTATTTTCACATGCATGTCCTACGTAAACCTACGTAAAGGTACATGCCTAAAAGGGCCAAAATCCTCAATGTGCCGGTTCACATGTCCCAGGCAAGCCTACGTAGACCCAGGTCCCTGCGAAGCCCCCACACAACAGCCCGAAGTATTGCATCTTCCCTGCGGGGCCCCTATGATCGAATCACCGGTACCTAGACAGGAACCTACAACACAAAACCATCCCCCTACCCCTTATCCGAAGCAGCTGGAACTTGATGCGAGAACACACTTTGGCTCGTGCCAGATTGAATCCTGGAAGACTTGGACAGCATTGCTTCCAAGCCGCTGCAAAAGGTGCACGAGGCAGGGTGAACAGCAACCGTAACCATGTTATAAGTCCTCACGTATGGCCAGCACCACGACCCTAAACTCCCAAATTTCATCGCTGCGCAGGATGTAGGATCCTGCTCATAGGTGGGAACCCTTTCCAGGCATTTCAATATGTTGTCTATTTAGGTTCTACCGTAGCAGTTCCTATCCGAGAGGTATGTAGACCCTCAGGCCATGCAGACCATTAGCTAGCTAAAGGAACAAATGCCGGATGAACTCGATAGGTCTCGTGCCCTGGGATTCTAGATTCTAGCTTGTGAGAGACTAATTAGAGAGAGAGAGAGAGAGATAGAGACAGATGGCAAGAGAAAGAGAGAGGAGTGAGAGGGAGGGAGACAGAGGGAGAGTATCACAGCTAGACAGCCTGGCTCTATGGATCGACGACCTAGACACTGAGTCTGTTGTGCTACATGCACCGGCAACAGCTCCTTGCACAAATTGGCAAAGTCGAATTTGCCGCAGCACTTCAGAGCCTGGCTTCCTAGTTGTGGACCATGCAGTGTCGCATTGCACAGCAGCAAGGAAAACACTAAATTTGGATGAACGGCAGCTGCAACTCCGATTTGTACATTGGCTTAATAATCTAAGTCCTCCTTCCATGTAGGAAACCTATATAACCAAAAGGGCCCGACTCGACTCCATACATTGTTCTAGTCTGAATATACTCTCTCCTATATATATATATAGATACATACACATATATAGTACATATATATATATATGTATATATATATATACATAAATATATATATATAGGTATATATGTATACATATGTATATATATACATATATATGTACATGTATATATGTATATATCTATATATGTATATATGTATATGTATGCACAAATATATATATATATATGTAGTTGTATATATATATATATGTCTCTAGAGAATAGCACATCTATACATTGAAGTGCCGTCCTGACATCGGAAGTCCTATTATAGTGAAGCAATACTACTTATTAATTATTGTCTACACCTGCCTAGCGCTTGCTTATCGGATCCAACACTAGCCACCTGGGTCAAGCAAGTGCCGGGCCTCAGAAACAGCTAGCTGTCCTAGTGGGGTGCCACTACCGTTAGAATGCTTCAACCCCCCCCCCCCCCTAGTAAATACCTCTATAATATACTAATAAGTTACTAATACATATATATACATATATACATATGTGTCTCCCAATCATCCCGTACTACTCCTTGCACCCCACTAGCTCGAAACACGTGTGCATCGAGGCCAATACCTCGCTCGAGTCTGGAGCCCATCCGTGTCTGACACAGCAGAATGCAGGGCCGGGTCGATCTGGAAGGGTTCTTGAGGTAGGTAGGGGTGTAGAAGTGTTTCAGCTGCAGCAAGCAGGTACTCGTAGTAGCACCATATACTCTATATATTATAGCTAATTCGGATGGGATGTATAACTACTGCTGCTTCCTAGAGAAGACTTTATAATTTATCTTGTCAGATGGGGAAAAAAAGCATTAGAACGGCTGCCCATGTATCTCGATGCACTCCTAGGTGCTTGCTGGCTGCAGTCACCGAGTTGTAAACTAGGCCTCCGAGTTCCGTTTATTGGAAATGTTTCGATAACAGGTCGGCAATGGTCTAGTGTAGATATGACGAGGATAGCAACAACGTATGCAATGCAGGGCCGGGGAAGCCTATGACCACGGCAGGTTTTGCATCTACACTCAATTCAGGCTCTCAACCCCAACCCCTAGCCCCTAAACTTACCTTTCAGTATCAACGTGTTGCTAGGGACATCATGACCCACATGCCTTCAAGAACCCTATCGTGTGATTGTCGGAGGGTTGCTAGGGTTTAGGGGTTTAGGGGTTTAGGGTTTAGGGTAGCTTCAAGGTTTATTAGGGTTTCGGGTTTAGGTTAGAAGTATTAAGGGCTTAAGGGTATTATAAGGGTTTGGGCTTTAGGGTTTCGGGTTGGGCCTTAATTAGGGTTTGGGCTGTATATGGGCTTTATAAATTCGGGTTTTTCTATAGGCTTTAGGGTTGAGGGTTCTGTTAACATCCATGTGCCCTCGGGCTCCAGGAATGCTTCGTGAGTCGAAGACATGACGAAGCTAATTTAAACAGCCCCACAGAGATCCAAGCCCCAGCATGTTGCAGCACACGGTGCAGTATAACTGCCTAGATATGTACCAGGAACCGGATTTAATGTGCGACACTAATAATATCATGCTACGGCCGTGTATGCTGAATATGTATATGTGTTTATCTCCGAGTGTGGGTACATACATACATACATACATACATACATACATACATACATACATATATATATATATATGTATGTGCGTGTATGTATGTGGTTGGTTATACACACTGTTATATCAAGCATGTATCCCCCTGCAAACATGTGACCCCTGAAATCTGTATAAGCCTTCTGGTGCCATAATGTGGAACAAGCCGAATCGAAGCTTAAGCAACCTGAGAACCTACGAAGTACCTAAGTACATCCTGTATCCACACAACCGTAGTCCTACTTGGTTTGCCGAAGCTGGACCATCCTGCTGAGGCATGCACTGCAGACGTGTTGGTGCAGGGGGGGAAACTTCTGATCAAGGCAAGTATGCACAGTGTGGGTCGGGCTTTCTATGGGGTTCCCCACTGCCAACTGCAGACCCCTAAACAAGTTCAACCACCAAAGACATGATGTTTCCCCGCTGCAAGCTTTGCCTCAGGATGCTTGTAGGGAATGCAATGCAGGTTGCAAAACTCTTCAAACACTTCTTGACTTCCAGACAAAGCAAAAGGGAGGTCACCATTGGGGTGGAAGTCCCCTTCAGTAATGGCCTCCTCCAGGAAGGTCTTCAGGGTAGCCAGGTCTGCATGGCTCCAGTCCCCACCAGGATCCTGAGTTCAGGATCTAGCTAGATGTCGACACCTATACGTAGCTAGCCTGCCATCTAGCCTGGTACCCAAATTGCAAGAGCGCGGAGAGGTCTGGCATTTCCGGGTCAGTAGCCTCAGCTAGCAGAGTTCTTGTTTGGGGATTATAACTGGCTAGTTGTTAATTCAAGCAAGACACCAGCCACTCGTTGTGAAGGGCACACACTTTCTTCCCAAAGTCCGAAGGATAGGCACTGGAGGCATTCAGGTCTTTGCCACCCGTCCTTACATTAACTTGCTTGGAACACTGCAGCCAATGGACCCTGATTGCAAGTAACTACTGTATGTGCACTCTGATGAACCTTGAGGACGCTACACCTTCCGTACCCCCTCGACCATAGTGACCTTCACCATCTCATGATCCGAAAGCCTCTTCCGTTTCTTGATGGCATCCTTGACCTCAGGGGTGAGCTTCTGGTACAGCTTCCAAAGCCAGGGCCTGGGCATGGTGTTGGGACCGTCTACTTATTATAATACATATAGTTATAAGGGTTCAAAGGATAGCTAGTCTGACTATGTCTAGATCTTACCAACAAGTCTACAGGACAAATGGACATCGGGTTTCCACGTGTTGGTTGACATCATGCATGGGGTACGGATGATTCAGGTGTAGCTAGAGTCATCACGGGACACACACATGTGCTCACAAGTGCCAAAGACATTTTTATCTATGTCTGAACAGGTTGCAAACATACATGTATACATGCTAAGACAGAGGGCCTAGCACATGTAGGTACGATCCTATCAGGTTCATATACGTGTGTGTACAATGCATTATCTCTCTCTCTATCTCTCTCTCGCTCTCTCTCTCTCTCGTTTTATACGTATATATATATATATATCCATATATACATATATATAATGTATGTATGTATCAACCATACCACTGCATGTATACATGTATATCTACCACACACGTGCATACAATAGATACAATTAACTAATCTATGCTACATCTAACGTCCCGACAATACGATACGTACACACATATACTAGATAGATAGATAGATAGATAGATGGCCACATAGATAGATAGAGAGCGAGAGAGACAGAGATGTGCTCATCTTCTTCTAGATCTAATAATCAATCTACAATAAAACTAGGCCCAGACCCAGTGTGCACATGATGACGGGTTTAGGACATGGGCTTTTGGACTTAGATTATGTTGTGGTGGAGTTTCCGGCTGGCCTAGATTTCGAGCTACAGGGTCACATGCACACCTCATTCAAAGGATGCTTAAGGCTAGGGGATTATAATTATAACCCATGGGCCAGGTTAGCACCGGGTTGCACATTCCCCAATCCCAGCTCTGGCTTCTGCGCGGGGTGTCCGTAGGTGCCCATCCACCTCATGGTGATGTCGAGTGCCAGGTGCTATTCCATCTACCAACATCAGAATACCGGAAGCGTACAAACTGGCATATCCCTAGCAAATGAGGCCACCACCAGAAAACTTGCGAGTGTGTGAACAAGGGCAATCCAAGCAAACTCTGTATATACGGAAACCAGGGAATCTTCGATTTGGATGGATTCTCGAGGGCCCAGCAAGCTTGTCTTACCAAAGCAATCAAGAAGAGCAAGCAGCATCGACTTGCGATGCAGTTTCCAGTGAGGACGAACCCAAGGTTGGCTCCAAACGGACGTGTAGCGGTTCTTTGATGCAGGGATTGGCTCATAAACCCGAACGAGTTACATGGCAAGCCAGCGAAGAATAAGGCACCTGGTTTCAAGCGTAGCACCAACATGAGGGCACGTAGAAATCCTTGGGTATTTCCAAGGTTCTCCAGCACTTCGTCCCTGCCGCGATCATAGCCTTGCCTTGGCCGGACTTTGGATTCGAATTGAAGTAGATCTTAGAGGGGGGATATTGCACTGGTTAATGCAGGAATCGGTTGTATGCAGCCACTGTGCGCCTTGAAGCCGCCCTTCCTGAAGGCCTTGACGATGCTAGCCACCCCACAAAACATCTCCACAGCATCCAAGTCCTTAGCTCATGAGGCCGTGGTCCATGCTATATATATTGGCTTCCGCTGCTAGTGGCTTGTTAGATGTAGGTGATACACATCCAGCCTAGTCTCCCTGGAGCGCTTGATGTCGTTATGGTCCAGAAACTCTGTCATGAAGTCGATGAGATGAATCCTTTGATCGACATGTAGCAATGCATCTATATATGTATGCATGCAAGCTACTCTGCAGACCTGTATGCCATGCTGCAGCTTGTGTACATTATGCGGTCTATGTGCTTACATGCCACACAATGGGAGGCACACCAAGGCATAGCATTGCCGCAGCTTGCAATTTGGATACCTTCAGGCTCTTGCGAGCTCTCATTTCAGAGAGCCTGGCCATCCTGGGGGAGTTCTGGGACCTGTTATAACTAGTACATCTCAGCTTGCCAGACTAAAGTGCATGCAGCTGCATTGGAGCTACTGCTGGAGGATCGATTCAAAGCATATGACAATTATATGCAGTAGATATGCCATGCACAGGAGTTGACCCAGCTTGTCAGGCAATATCAGACCGTGAGCCTCTGAATGCTGCAGTGCTGTGTACAACAGTCCAGCGCAAGGTCTGTGCAACAAGCTGACCAGCACACTACGACTGACATAGTCACCTATCACAGAAAACTTCGAGGAACCCCAAATCTCTCTTCGAACAGATATCACAGCAGATCTGCACACAGAGGCTGGGAGCACCTCGGCGATGCCGCACTCCATTGCTGGTCACTCCAGGCGACGGATTCTCAGCTGCTGCCACACCTTCGGAGGGAGAGTGGATCAAGCACAGTACTATTGCTGTATGTCATGATGATAAATAGCATATTTGTGATTATGAGCAGTAACACATCTGTTTTGGGCTTTGCGGCTTCATCCGATCAGCCTGTGTGCACAGCTCTCTTGCTGCAAATTGTAGCTGCACCCAGCAACGTGTACATCTGGAAGGCAAGTGCCACTAAATCAGACCATTATGCACCTTAAGCATGATCAGTGGCTCCAGCTAGGTGCTGTGCAAGGCTCGGGCTGCACACTTTATCTAAGCATGAAGTCAACTCAAGCACTGAAAGCATCCACACCAGTTAAAAATCCGTACAGAGCTAATAAGAATCTAGATAGAATAACCTTCGGATGAACGGGGTCTATATATACTAGGAGGAGTCCAGATATATGTATTATGTATACTGGCGAAGGACATAAACATAGCTTCATCCTATTGAGCAGATTGGGGTACAAAACCGGTGCAGATGCTTTAATGGCCAAATTAAAATTGTGCAGAAGCTCAGCTAGAGCTCATGATCATCCTCAGGCCGGCTGGGACACCAGCGGGCTCAAGCACAGGTGCCTTGTTAGCCTATGCTATATTAGAACTAGCATCGGGGTTGCAAGGGTTCCTTTTCTAATTATTATAATATTATAAATAAGAAGCTGGGTGTCTTTAATGATATGTGTATATATATATACATAATTAGTCATTGCTCCTCACCGCTAGCTATTCATGCAATGATAACATGTATGATGGAATATGTATGATTAGGGCCTTTACATGGCTTGATAGGATTCTTGTAGGTATTGCATGAATACTCTATATACCTAGTAATAGGATAGTGTCGATCTATATATCTATATATATATACATACATACATACATATATATATATTACCTATCTAACTAATTATCTATCTATCTATTTATCCGTGTACGTGTCTATTGATATATATATATATATATACATATATATATATATGTATACACACACACCTTATCAAGATAGCTAGCAGAAGCGGCAACATTGGCACCCATCGAGGCTTCCTAGCGGATCTATGCAAAAGCCCGGGCTCCTGGGCGCACAGGGAAAACCCATGCTTGAAGTGCAGTTCGTCCCTGCCACGATCATGGCCTTACCTTGGAGCTGGTTTGGTTAAGCAACTGCAATTGCAACGCATGCATGGCACTGATGATGTATGCACGATGTTGTCAATCCAGTAGCTTCTTGATCCATCCAGCCATCAGTCTCGCATGGTGCCACCTAGGTTGTGTGCTTGGACATACATGCATGTGAACATCTTCATGCATGCACTCCGGATCCCGACATACATGCTTATTAGGAGCTGCTACCAGGACATCCAATGGCAACACCACCATCAAAGTAATGCCACGGGATCGTTGCCCCACCTTTGCCATCCATCTGGATGGCACCCTCAACATGCTGCAGAACCTGCTTGACATAGAAGGACTCCGCCCGCAAGATGATACCGATGCCACTGGCAGTACTCGAGCCCCGCTTCTCCTTCATCCCGCTCTCGTAAGCAGTAAAGCTCCTGAGATCCCCATAACAATACCAAGACACACTAGCATCTAAACGTAGATGTTTGCTCTATTGTGGATATCCATGCAAACTGAGGCTCTGCTTCTTGAGCTCATCGGGAAAGTGGAGGCCCGGAAGGTCTTCTTTCTTCAGATACTCGAAGTTCTTGAGAGCCCTCTCAAGCCTCTTAGAGCTGGCCTTGGACTTCTGGGGGGATACCTTCGGGGGGTGGGGCTTCGAGTTCTTGGCACCTGGTGCCTTCTCCTTCTTTGGGGCTGCATTGGCATTGCTAGAGCTCGCAGCATCACCGCCCTTCTTCATCAGCTTGTTCAGACGGCCGTTACGCTTTGGCGCTTTCTTAGCCGGTGCACCCTCATCAACATCACCATCATCATCATGGCCCTGCACATGATCATCATGATGACCATGCTCGCCCTGAGAGGCCCCATCACCAGCATCGTCCTTCCTTGCAGCCTCGGCCTTGGCGACCTTGAAACCACGCCGGCCACCGTGTGTCTTCCTCTTGTTGATGCGGTCCTTCTCAACGATTGCAGCAGCCTCGTCTATGCAGGGATGGTAATCATGAGCTGGTGTTTTTTTTCAAGGGAATTCAGGATCACAAGCATGGGACCTCTCGGATGCGAGTACGAACAACATCTTGAGCGGCTGTGACGTGGTCATAGCGCTCGTGAAGACGTGTTGCATCCATGAACTCCGGGGGGGGAACTTCTCTGAACTGTACCAAGGGTTCCCGATCCTGATTTCCGAGGGTCCAAAGCTTGAGATGATCACGATGCTGATGCAAACAACAAGCCAGTGTATAGTATTTAAGGCTGGACTCTTTCGCTGCAAACGATGTGACATGATCCGGCTCAGGGGCTTCCTCGGCCACGGCGCTCGATGGTCCAGGCTGTGCTTGGTCATGAAGTTGGAGCCGTGCCTTGAGTGAGGTACATATTTCAGAGTGGGATTTGCAAAAGTATTAGATGTCAGGAGCTGCTACATACGGCTTGTCCCCCAGTGTGCTTATCTGTAGCTAGTATGGGTCGGATTGGTACTTTAGCCGCACCGAATTCAGAATAAGGGACATGCATACAGGCATATATATATATAAAATATACATGTATATACATACATATGCAATATGGGGAAGACATTTTAATGTGTATACATACATATGAAATAAATATATACATATATATATGTATATATATATAGATATTCATGCAGGTAGCAAATGTCTGCAGATGTACAAGTATAAAACACCTATGTATATATAGCAGTATGTATGTGTTTTATGTATGTATGTTTGTTTGTATGTATGTATGTATAATA